ACGCGCTGCTGCTGCTCCCGCTGCTGGCCTTCCTCGTGGGCGTGCAGACCGCCTTCCCGCCCGCGCCCCGGGGCCCCGTCCCCGCCTTCACTGGCCTGGAGCTCCTCACCGGAGGGGTGAGGGTTAGGGGCATTGGGCCAGAGCGGCACCCTCTGGTCTCCCCTGGGGAGACCCCTCGGCCTCCACTGTGACTCCAGGGGGGCCGTAGACAGCTCTCCTTGTTGTCCCGACATCTGTGGGGCCTGGGAAGCCCCGGATGGCCGAGGCCTATTGTCTACCTCCGTGCTGTCCTTGTGGCCCTGCCCTGGCCTCCCTGATGGGTGCCCCCCCTCTGCCCCTGGAAACCATGGGCGGGTCAGGCGTGGGGAGGGGAGTCCCTGACGCGGCCGGGCCTCCAACGCAGGGCCGCTTCACGGACACCGTCATGTACTACGGCTACTACAGCAACGCCACCCTGAACCAGCCGTGTGCCGACCCACCCGACGGCGGCTAGTGCGCCCCCGAGGCAGCCAGCCTGCCCTACAACATGCCCCTGGCCTACCTCTTCACCATCGGCGCAGCCTTCTTCATCACCTGCTTCACCCTGGTCTACAGGTAACGGCCTCCACCACATGACCCTGGCTCTGAGCACCATTGATCCACCCATCCATCAACCCATCCATCCATCCATCCATCCATCCATCCATCCATCCATCCATCCACCATCCATCCATCCTTCCATCCATCATCCATCATCCATCCATCCATCCTTCCATCCATCCACCCACCCATCCATCCATCTATCCATCACTCCATCCATCCCCCCCACAACACTCACTGTGCTTGGGTCAGGAAGATAAGTGAGGAGCTTGCTGTCCAGGGGAGGAGGAGGCTGGCTGTGTGCCCAGGAGTCATGGAGCACTGGGGGAGGAATCAGGCTGGCTTCCTAGGAGAGGTGGCACTGGCCTCAGGGCAGGCTCAGGGAAGGGAAGAAGGTGTTTTGGTTTTGGGAGCCAGCGCAAAGCCCTGGGGCTGAGCCCACATCTACCCCCTGTCCCGGCAGGAGCAGTGGCCCTGTCTTGGGTCGAGTCTGACCCTTCTAGCCTCGAGGCGCTGGTGGGCACCGGGTTTGCACAGGGCTGGCCTAGAGTGGCCACAGGCCCACCCCAGGCGCTGAGAGCTGGGCGGGAGGAGGGGGGCTCCTCTCCGAGGGGTGGGCTTTGGCTGTAGGGAGTGTCCTGCTGCCTTCTGGCCTCCGCTCCCCGCCCTCACCCTCCTCACCCCATCCTCACAGCATGTCCCACTCTTTCGGGGAGAGCTACCGGGTGGGCAGCGCCTTGGGGGCCCATGCCATCACCGTCTTCTGCTCCTGGGACCACAAGGTGACTCAGAAACGGGCCTCCCGCCTCCAGTGTGACAACATCCGGACCCAGCTGAAGGTGCGCCACCAGGGCCGGGGCCACCCCACCCTGAGCCCTGCAACCCCGTCCCAGCCACTCAGCTCTCTTAGACTTGGACGTGGGTGAGGGTGGGGGTCCTCGTCTTGCCCTCAGTGCCCCGCAGTGCCTCCCCGGCCGAGGCTGGTCAGCACTCACCCCCTGGCTGGTCTCCTGTGCGCGTCCACCCTGGGCTGCCCGTCTGTTAGTGCCACGGCCCTTGGATGTGGAGGGGCCATGTCAACGGCAACCTCCCTGGCAACCGTCCCCTCGCAGTGGGTGTGCGTGCTGGGGGCTTTGACTTACGTCCCTGGCCCGAGGGGCTCCTGCTGGGCTGCACCCCGGCCGCCCCAGCCGCCTGCCTCAGGCGAGATCCGCTGTCTCTGAGCCACAGGAGGAAACAGGCAGAGGTTCAGTCCTTTGCCCCAGGCACAGGGCCAGAGGGTGGCGGAGCTGGGCCTTGTGGAAACTTCTCTGCCCTTCTGGGGCTTGTGCTGCAGGATTGGGCTTTGCTGCCCTCGGGGAGCTTCCGGTGGGTGGGGGGCGGGGGGGGGACCCCACAGCAGCAGGACAGCTCAGGAGGCGGAG